AGAATGGTTTTTTCTTCATCCTGATTGGTTGGGAGTCTTGGTCTGTGTTTATTGGTCTTGGAGTTTGCTGTGTTCTGCTTGATTGGTGTTGCTAATATCTTTTGTCTGTTTTGTGGCTCTTTTTGTATCTTGATTGGCTGGCAACATTGTGTCCCTTTATTGGAGGCCTTTAGTGCAGCTTGGCTCCGGGTAAATGGACGGCTATCAATTGTTAGGAAGCTAGGTTTCATCTGGGTGTAAGTACCCGCGAAAACTAAAGAAAACAAATATATATATATATATATATATATCAGAATTATTGTTTAAGGAAAGATGAATATCAGTCTTTCCAGATTCAGCCCTTTAATGCTAGCAGAGATTTATCTTTGCATCACAGGAACACCGTATGCATAAAGTATGCATAAAGGAAACACTCTGATCTGTTTGTATCAGTCCATAAGACTTAACTTCCATTTCCTTCTATAGAAATGAATGGTATATTCCAAATTCATAAATGGGGAAAACATGTGCTTTCCTGTAATTTGGAAATTGTTTGGAGCTTTATACAGCCCGATTACCTAAAAGCGTTGATCACTAGCTGAATAATAAAATTGTTAGAATCAGAGGAAAAGAAGGTTGCCTTCTTTTTCTGGGGATCCATAAATTCTCCTCATTTAAAAAAGTGTGTGGAACCAGGACACCAAAAAACCATCAGTACCCGTCCTCACTGCCTTAGCCAAATGCATGTACATAGAAAATTATTAAAAGATTAACTTCATAGAGGTAAAGAAAAAAATGGCAGTTCAGAGGATTGCTGTCTAATTGTGCAAAAAGACTGGAAAAACTCAAGCGAAGCAGGAGTTTAATTTACCTAGGACACTCTTTGTGCTCCTGTGATTCTGTTCCTCTGTGTTGGCTATTCATCATTGCTTTTGGATGGACATGGATCATAATCCCACCATGATCATGTCCATGTGGAATGAATGTCTACTACAATGATTAGCAGGCTTCCCTTCAAGGACTTCTGCACCTCAAGTAGTTCTCTAATAGTACCTGTCTTTTGGTGTTCAGGAACACAGCAGTTGAGGATTGATCTGGAAGATTTCAGTGGTTCCAAAACCTTTGCAAAATATTCCAGTTTCAGAATCACAAATGAAAGTGAAAACTACAAATTAACGTTGGGTTCCTATTTGGATGGCAACATGGGTGAGTAATACAGAAAATGCCTCTTCATTTGAGTACCTTCTTACTGTGAATATAACAAACATAAATAGTTGCTTTGAATAGTGAGATGGGCAGCAAGTAAATTTAATCAAAGAAAAACTGGAGAAGATAAAAAAAATACAGAGACCTGCAAGCAGAAATAGAACATCTGTGCAAAGGTAGTACCAAAAGTAATAAGTACTTCGGTACCTAGTCATGTAGCACTACTTGAACACCATTGGCATTGACAAAATCACCACCAGTCAATTGTAAAGACATGTTTACTTGGAACAACTTACATGTTGCAACAATATTGTAATGCAATCCAACATCAATATCTGCCTATAATAGGTCCTTGGGAAGGACTCAATAGGTGGATAAAAATGCCAATTCCAGCCTAAACATCTGACTGCATAATAATATCAGATAACCTGATGCAGAATGCAGAAATAATTTAAGCCAGGGGGCTGCCTAATTCCTTTCTAGTTTATCAGGGGGACAATATGGAAGTGTGAATAGGAGGCAGTCCTTTGATCCAGGGAGCAAAACACAATCCCAGACTCAGGGAACTTATCCATTCTTTGGCTTATTAATGGGGTTCAGGCATTCTGGTTTATCAAAAAGATTTACAACATGGCCCGTTAGATGGATCTCATGGTGGTGTATTCAGAAGGTCAAGTTAAGCAAGCCATGGCTTCAGGAAACAGGTAAAGCCATTGAAAAACACGTATCTTCTTGACTGGGCTGGCTAGTGATGCCAATATTCAAATCTAGGAAATTGTGCATATAACCCAGATGCTCAATCATTTATATTTGATCCCTTTCTAATTCTTAGTGGTGTAGGAACATTTTTCATTGGTGAAATGCCCTGCAGGTTTGCATTCCTGGAAGACATGAACTTTGTGCTTCCCTCCTTTTAGGTGATTCTCTCTCAGGACACAATGACCATGCATTCTCTACCAAAGACAGAGACAATGATATCTATGATGGAAATTGTGCTGTAAGTTTCAAAGGAGCCTGGTGGTACACCAAATGCCACTCTTCCAACCTGAACGGCCTGTATCACAAAGGGGAACATACTTCTTATGCTGATGGCATCAATTGGCATTCTGGGAAGGGGCATTATTATTCTTACAAGTATACGGCTATGAAAATTAGACCACAATAAATGAAACTACAGTTTCACAGATTCATCAACATGACCCAAAATGATTATTCTTCTCTATTCTCTTCTGGAAAAAAATAAATAAATGCAGCAAATGTTTAAAACGTCTTCTTTGTGTGATTTTTCTCTCTTGTAATAATCCCTTTTTTATTTACAGTAGATGGGGATGGAGTTCAAACCCTTTTCCTTCTTACTTTTTCCAATTTTTTTCCTGAGGAGAGAGGTGTTCCTTCATTTGCTACAAAGCTGACGTTTATTGATCTATAAGCCATAAGTAGGTAAAGTAACACAATAGTTTCTACTCATTTGTGTATCTGTGCTTCATGAATTAAGTTCAGCAAAAGGATTTACTTGGACCTCTGTCTTGGGTAAAGCACCCTTGGAAAGTTTTCACAAACTGATTGCCTTAAAACAACTAAGTTGGCAGAAGCAATACCAGAGATAACTGTGTCAGTGTTTTTTATGCTCAAGGAAATTTGACAAAGCATGTAACTCAGATAAACCCGAGAATCAATTTATAAGGAGAAAAATTATCTTGCTTCCTTCCAGCTGCTGATTCAGTCACATCATTCACACTCAATACAAAGTCTAACTCACTAAATAAATAGCTCTGATTTATTGTTTCTGTGGCATTTTACCTTATCTGTATGATCATTACATGTTTTTCTGAAGGACCCGGTGTTTTACAAAAGTTGCAATCTTTGGGAAAGTGTTTTCAACACATACAATGCAATTTAGTACTGAGAGGAAATGCCTCCAGAAGAGAAATAATCTTATCACTCTCATCCCTAATCCGGCTGGCAACACAGTATTTTAATCTTCAAAGTAAGACTATAAGCTCTTGAAGGTTATTCAGAAGTGATGGTTCATCTTAGACCAGAGTTCTCCAACCTTTCTGGGTTGGCGGCCCAGAGCAGGGGGAGGGAGAAAGAGGGGATGATTTTGTGGGAGGGGCAAGTGTATGTACATGCGCGTATATGCATGAGCATCCACAACTTTCACATGATGTTGGTGTGAGTGGGGCCATGAGGGCCCACAATGAGGCCTGTGTGAATGGGGCTGGAAGCACCTGCAATGACACTCACTTGAGTGGGGCTGTGCGCACATGCAGATGCACACTCACATGGCCCAGTGGCGATTTAGCCTGCAGCCCAGTAATGGGCCATGCCCCACAGGTTGAGGCCCCCTATCATAGATAATGAAGATCCCCATCTCCATTATTGATCCTGAGATCACACAGCTCCAGGATGCTCTTTCCATATCCCATGTGTGAACTTCCACAAAATTATTTCTGGATGCAAAATTCTGGGATGGAGTTTTATAGCCAGTTCTTACAAATGTATACTAACTGTTTATTTTACTAAATAATAATTAAATTATCTGTATTCTTATGTTTTGGCACAGAAATTCAGTGTGCAATTGATTTTGTTTGCAACTTAATAAGAATCTACAGCCCCAGAGAAATAATACAATTACCTATGCCTGTCTGAGCACATATAATTGTTACACAGGACACTTGTTTATTGCAAATGTGTCCCTGTGTTTCTTTATAGCGGTGCGCCATTCAAACTAAGTTAAAATGTCTCCTATGAGGATGGATGTGAATTGTGTAGAATGTGTGGAAGTGGCCAGAAATTGTGCGTGGATAATTTGCAATTGGGCCATAATAGGGATGAATGCTTTTAGCTGTGTCATTTTATAGATATAAATCCCACATCATCTGTTTAAGATTAATTTAGGTTTTCTCTGGACTGAGATAAATTATCAGAATTGCCTGGGTCAAAAAACATAATAAGCTAGATCAGAATCAATTTTCCTCGTTAGGGAAGAAATAAACTTTTCAAAGAATGTAAGGTAAACCAGAGACTCATCCATAAAAGGTTTGTTTCAGCCAAAACCTGAGAAGCCAAAGTCTCAGGTGGGTCCCAAGAGAAATTCAGCCAAGCTCTAGCCAAACAATTCTAAGGAACTTAGACTGAGCAGTTTCTAGAGTAGAGACATTCTTATAAACACAAACTTTTGCACCATATAACAACAGACTCAGACTCTTTGCTTTATACAATTTTATTGCTACAGAGATGTTATCATTGCCAGGAAGACTTGCATACTTTAAGATTGTTTTAGCAACTTTATGAGCTCTAATAGAAAGCTCACTCACTTAGGTATTCCAATGGGTGAAGATAGACAAGTTACTTTAAGTCCTTAACTGATTCATTTGTTTTTTTAATTGATTTCCTATGTAATAGAGGAATTAAAGTGCATTCTAGAGAAAACCAGAACCTTCATTTTTGAGTAATTGATTTCAAGAAATTCCCTGGAATAATAAAACACTAAAGCATCTAGGCTCACTTAGGTTACAGATCGATAAGGTGCCCACTTAACAAGACGGTTTCAATCTTTACAAGACGATGGATATAGGATGGTGGGCAAGCATGATGGGTTAAATTCTAGTTTAGAAAGAACTATGTGTCATTTATATAGAGGTTGACTAATTAACAAGGATATAGCTCTGTCTAACTCCACTGAAGATGAGAATCGCTTAAATCATCATTACAAGTGCCTCTAAACCAGGTCTATCAAAGTCTCGGCTCACAGGTGGATGCGTTACCTGCTGGCCATGCCCACACCCAGTTTAGCGAAGGGAGGAAAAGTCCTGGTACATCATGTGACGCTGCCATGATAACATGAGTTTGACACCCCTGGTCTAAATGTGATGTAAATTTGGATGTAACAGAAGGAAGCAAGAAAATGTATTTTTTTTCTCTTTGACTTTGATCAAGCAAGTAAATATATTTTGATTGTTAAGATTGGTGAAGTGAATTAAAGCAGCATCTTATCAGCTCATTTCAGTAGTATTATGACTAGATAGAATCACTGCCTGTTACAGAACAAAGAATTCAGAAGATAAAATGAATAACATGCATCACAGATTACAAACAGCAGAGTCTGATCTTTATAAACAGAATTTGAATTGTAGAGCATTTCAGAAGAGAACAATTCTGTGGGCATATGGAACAGCTGCTTAAAAATTTGCCTGATATTGCAGACATGAAGGAAACTGAGATGGAGTATGTCGTAAAACACAGGAAGTTCTGGAGGAAGTAAGTCAAGCAACACAGCAGTTTTTGTTTGATGGTGGACTATGTGTATGTGTGTTTGTGTGTGCACACACATGTGCCTGACTTTGTAAAGTAGCTTCAAAGAGGCTTCACTTAAAATTTCACCTTAGTAAAGCAACTCTTTTTTTTCAAATAATTTTACAAAGCAGAAACATTAAAAACAACATAAATCAATGATTTAAAAAATGATTGAGGGTAAAAAAAAAAGAACAGGGACAGAACTGTAATAAAAAAGTATAAAGAAAAAGAAAAAAAGCAGAAATGTATATAAAGAATGGCTTCTAACTTCTTCCAAGAGAATGCTTACTTTTGGCTCTTAGTTAAGACTATACTAAAGTGTCAATTCCCCCTCCAAAAAAAGGGAGAAATTAAAAAAAATTCTCCCCCCCCCCCTTTTAAATTTTAACAATAATCAAATCCATATGTTAAATTTTCATGTTTCTCCATCTCCTGCAAAAAAAGTCCACAAAGAGCTTCCAATTACAGATAAATTTCTTCAGTGATTTTTCTCTCACGAGGACCATTAACTTAGCCACTGTTGCTAATTCTGCCATCTTTATTACTACTAATACCTACTATTGTGGCTATTGTAGGAGCTTTTCAATGCTGAGTGCATTTATCACATATAACAATAAAACACTGTGTGATTTTTTTCCATTGTTTTATCCATAAAGTTATGATAACATAGCATAATGTTATATAGGAATACCTGTACTGAACTGTTTTATGAGTGCATATAGAATTGATGAGGTTGATATCTTGTGGCCAACACTGCCATAGTGTGGATAATTTCTGCATCCACACCACATTATATTTTTCTTCAAGTTTATTGCATAGAAATAAAAAAATGATCCATTGACAATCATTTAATCCTTTAAGCATTATTGCACATTTTAAAAATCATTTTAGATATTTTATCGTGGACTCCCAACTTGCTCTCTGAGTTAGATCAGACAGAGTACTACTTGCACACAGCATACTTAAACATATGTGGGCAGTTAAAAATGAGATTCCGAAAGAAAAGGGGGTAATGACCAAAACCTTTAAATATAAAGAATATGAATGAGGTTCTAGAAAGCAGCATTTTCAATATTAAGCAAAAAAATCCAGAACATGGGGACATAGCCTCAAATTGACAGGAGGGAAGTTCAAAAGTAAATTTAGAAAGTATGACCTCACAGAAAGTGGATGCTATGAACCAACTTTCCAATTTTAGGTTGCCCATCAGTAACTGAGTTTAAATATGCTTGGGATAAACATATGTACATCATCCAATAAAAATATAAAAAAATAAAAGAAACATTAAAAAAACTCAAAGAACAAATTGGATGGACCACTAAATCCATTTCTGCCATCAGTTTTCTATATTTCTATGTTTCTATATAAGATTAATTTATTTTAACTAAAAATGATACTTATTCACAATGTGCCTAAATATGTTTGGGTTATTAAGATAAATGGTATGAATTGTCCGCTCTTCCTTAAGACTGACCTGGGAGAGAGATTGTTGAGTAAATGGGCTGAGGCAGGGAGGGGAGAGAGTGAAACAAAAGTACATTGGAAATTAAATGATCCAGGCTCAAAATGGCCATGCAGGGTGATGCTGGGTTGACTATCTAAAAACACAGAGGAGCTGAAGCTCTGAAGATAGCACAAATGGAGCTTTCCTTGAGCAAGGTCAATAGACTTGGGTGGACTTGGGAGCTGAGTCAGGCTTGACTAACACTGCTGAGTTCCCGAAGGCTGTCAGCGGGAAGGTATGTCAAGCATTCTCACTTTGCTTATTCAGTCACTTCAAACTCCCAGATAATTGGCACAAATGCCATCAACTTGGTTTTATCTTCATTTTCATCTTCCTTTATTTGACCTTTATGACTCAGGATAGTAAATGCAAAACTGCCTGAACAGGCTATGACGGATGTTTGGAATAGTACAAATTCTCTTATCACAGTTTAAGGATCGTTGTGATGCATTTCATCTGCACATATCAGCTTTCCCCGAGCTGAGTCTTCTAAGAATGTTAGACTCTAGCTCCCATAATCCCCCCTCCCTGATAATTAATGGCTCTAGTTAGGAGAAAGCTGCTACACATTTAAACGCTGCATGTTTCATTCAGGTCTTGAGGATCTATCTATACCTACATTGGATATGAAATGGATGGCATATATTTTTTTTACAAATAAGTAAATAAATGTTTCCTTTAATTTTTTAAATATTATTGCATACCAACGTGTATCCATTCTCCTACAATAGGCATTATGGTGATTGTTATGTTCGCCGATCGGGTCCAAGGAAGACGCGAGGCTCAGTGACTTTTAAAGCTCTTTTATTTCATGCTTAGGTCAGCTTGGCTTGGCTTCAGATCGGTGGCGGTTTATATTGAACTTTGCTCGGAGCCACAGCCAATGACATCGTTTTGAATCTCCCGCGATCGGTTTCCTCCAATCGCGGATGATTTGCAACGGGCCAATCACTGTGGCTTACTCAGCCAATCCGAGCGCCGTGCGCCCTGACCAATCAGGACGGAGGGTTACAAGAATGCTAATGTAGCAATACAGAACACCCCTCCCCTCTTGGTATGGTCCTACGTAATGTAG